TCTATATCTATATATATATCTATATATATATATATCTATATATATATATATCTCTATATCTATATCTATATATATTTGGGTATATCCATATTCAAGAAGTCTAGTAGTAGTAGTAACGTCTCTGTGTAGTAAACAACTGTCAAATCAAATAAAGTACACATCAATTATATTTTAACAAATATTATTCTCATTTTTCAAATTTAACTGGATGGATTATAAATAATACATAGAAATACATGAATAAATGTTCTTCTCATTTCAAGCAAAATAACGGCTGGATTAAAAAATAAATTACTTAACGAAATTCATTTTAGCAAAATTATTTTCACTGAATTGCCCTGCAGCTTTAAATTCAGTTCATTCAGGGTGAAGTGAAAAAGCCACAAAATTATATTTTTCTCATCTTCTAAAAAGAGAAATTAGTGTTTGACTGGACAGACTCATATAGGTGAATTCTTCAGAGTCTAATGACTCTGGTCTCTCTGGCCATTTCTCTCTTTTGGAGATCGTCCTATGATTTGACTTTCACAACTCTCACATCAATAAATAGTCCTGCTCTGCTCATATGTCACCATCTCACTCAAGTCAGGAAACTTGTCAGAATACCCATATTTGATTGGCCGAGCTTCATCACGTGATGTGATTCACAACGCATTGGTCAGTGTTTTTCCTGCACCACTGAACAAGTGCCGTAAATGCTGGAATAATTCCGCTGCATAAAAAATGCCCTTCAAAATAAAATCAGATTTTTATTTTTTTTTTGTCAGGCAAAGGCCCGCGACCCACTGAAAACCGGTCCGCGACCCACTTTTGGGTCGCGACCCACCAGTTGAGAATCACTGCTGTAAAGTATGGTGTGTGGGGATATGCAAGTAAAAACTGTGTCCATGCGTGCACGAGCTTGTGTCGTCACGTGCCCCCCCCCCCACCAAAGCAGCAGAGCAGATGTGGGGAAGGACCAGCGGCCACCTCCTTTGCATATTGGGCGCCTTGTTCTACACACTCGGCGACGTTTACCAATCAGGTCGACACATGCAGCAAACCACGCCTACGCGGCAACTCGTGTCGCGCGCGCCTCATCAGCATTGTACTGGCGGCGGAGCAACCAAAAGTTGTCACTATCCTTTTGCCGCTGCTGCATGCTCTGCGGACTCTTTCTGTAATATTTAACTTGGTTAATTCAAGCACGTTTGTCTTTGTAGTGGGTAATAGCGAGCTCGAAAACTGCATTGAAGAAGCTGCAGAGTTCACCAGCTGAAGCCAACTAGCATTACTACCTTTAGTTAAGTTGCTGTCGGGCACCCCGTGGGGTTTAAAGTTCAGCTAACAGTAGCGTCACTGGCTACTAGCAGGTAGTTAGCTCTAGTCACAATGGCAGCTGTGTGTCAGCCACGACGTGCCTTGGTGGAGATACATGCTCCACAGCCCAAAATTGCAGGTAAGTCTGAAACCTGACTGCTTTTAAATTAACGCTGTAAATTGTTGTAACTTTTGTTCTTTGAGCGGGACGCGCCGCTTTGCTATCATGCTAATATTACCACAAGCTCGCGCCCACAGGACAAACATTCGGTCAGCGTAAACTTCCTAAAATGATGATGGTATACAATTTAAATGAACCTTTATTTCCCCAGTAAGTTTAAAAGATGCGCGTTATGCTGTGTCCCAAATATCATTGTAGGTAATATAACAAGAGCCAGTGTAACCCAGTTGATATTGACTGTTTTACAGCTCGAATGAGGAGGTCCTATCTAGAAATTCTGAGTGCTCGGTTAGTTCCATCTCCACTCCCAAGAGGGAGAAACGCAACGACTAACGCAAAGCGTGGGCACTCACGTAAGTACAACTAACGCTGACTGGAGGAAGCAACATGGAAAAAGAAACTAGCAGACGCTACATACCACCTGATGACTAGTGATTACTGAGTTTCTCTTTCCCTTGTTTTCTTATTGTTCTAATATTGTTTTTTGTAATATTGTCTTATGTTTTACAGTGGACTTGTCCATTGGTGGGGTCTGGAGTGGGAGGATAGTGGAGCAATGTGAGAAGATGGACGAGCACCACATCCCTCTCTCCAAACAGCAGCTTGTACAGCTAATTAGATCCCTCATCTTAGTTGAGCAGGTATCCATCCTGGCCCTTTTCAGTGTAATAGTGAGATGAGCTGAATTTTTAGCCAACTCTGAGCCTTCACTACACACAGTGTAATCTGAAGTATTGGTGTGTTGCATTGCGTCCTAGAGCCAAGAGCCCAGGATGCTGGCGTCTGACCTGAAGTATCTTCAAGACGACCTGCAACAAAAGAAAGCCCATGTTTACCGGTCCATACCGTACTCGCGGCTCGGCTCCAACAGGGACGCTCACTGCTACAGAAAAGCATATCCTCACCTGGTGGTGTTCAAAGTGAGTATACATACATGATGACACTTTGTGGAAAACCTGCAGATTTAGTGTGCTTTTATATTGTCCAATTCTATTGTAGGTATGTATTTTATTCTAGACTTTTAAGGAGGAGGCGTGTGCTCTTTAAGCACACCACTGCTGCTCTATTGTTGTGCTTGATGTCTTCATAAAGGGGATTTTGAGTCACTGATGTGTTAAAAACTTGCTCCATAATTTGCCTGGCTCTGTGAGCTTGGTGTTTCATTGTGTAATCCTAAACCGTTGCCTCATTATTCCCCCCCCCCCAGGTTTCCTGTCAGGAGTGGGGCCACGTTCTCCTGAGGAACAAAGAGTGGGATGCCGTGTTGGAGCACACGTTGATGGCGTGGCGCTACACCAGCGAGCTGCCGCAGTGGGATACAGCGAACCACAACGCTCTCAGAGAACAGTGTTACGGCATTTTGGCAGCTCACAGCCTCGCCGCTCTCCAGCACCACCACCCTGGACCCGACAGAGGACGCGAGCTGCTCAGAAGGTACCACTTTTAGTTTTTAAAGGGCCTGTGAACATCCACATCCAGAACCTAAACAATACATGTATTAATATGGTGCATAGTATCCTTTGTCAGATTAGGGGAATACTCGACAAGGAAGTGATCATGTAAACGGCTCAGTTTGGTTGCTGAACCACATGAAACTCAACCTTTTGCTCAGTGTTTTTCTGTCGTGCATCTGGAGGGTCAGAGTGAACCAGATGCTAAGTGTGCACCAATATAGTCACTCTATTTTCCTTTTATTTTGTAGCACTAATAAGATGTGAACTGATCCTTGAACGACCGAGGTCAACTCGGGTCACTGGGGAATTCAGGCTACCTCAAACCTCGCTTTACGCAAATAATTTTCTTTAAAGTCACGTTGACTTTGCTGGCGTGTTGGCAGCTGATTTCCGACTTAAATGTCCTGCTGAATCAATGCCACATGGGCATCCTACTGGAGTCCAGTATTGCCACCTGTTGAATGCAAGTTCTCACCTTTTAGCCTTAGGTTGGTACCCCAACCCCTTGAGTTCACTTTGGGTTGATGGAAGTTCCACTTCCTTTACCACTCAAGTGTTAACTTAGCTCTCACTGCATAGCGTGTTTGTATATGATGCTGATCAGTCCTTTTGAACTATTCTAGCAGCTAAAGATTCAGAGTACTACATCTAAATGATAGTTGCTTACATTCTGAGGTAGCTGCTGAAGTACTCACTAGCTAGGTATTTGCTTTCTCAAATGCTATTCATAGGTTCATGTACAAAATTGACTTGTGTTTTTAGTTGTAGGTTTTGGTAGTCGGCCCCTGAAAACCTAATGTTTCATTGAATTGAGAAGTTATTTATGTCTAACAGAGGACTCTTGTGTTTTTTCTGTCTCTAGGCTAAATATGGCTCAGTTGCAAAGCCAGTCAATTGTGCCGTGTATTCAGGAGTTGCAGAGGATTATGGGATGTGCTGATGTCTCCTCCATGGACACAAAATAACACGAGACGTACCCTCTGACCAGCTGACGACAGTCAAAAGTGTGCTTTGTAGTTGACCTAAATAATTTATATGTGGTACAGGGCCAAAAAACATTTTACGTGTTAGTGTTTGTTTGGAAAAACCACAACAGTATTTGTCCAAAGGGCAGGGTAGCAACTAAAAATGTGAAGGTTTGAAAAGGTAACGAAAACCACCGCCTACATGGTCGAAAATGCAACAAATCCTCAATTTTAATCACAATGTGTTTTTCTGTGGACTGGAAAGTATTGGAGTGCAACATTTGTAGCATAGCACACCTCAAAATGTATTTATTGTTGTTAATGTTATCTTCATATGTTGCCTTACAAAAAACACTTATTTTTAGAGGAACAGTCACATCCTGAGAAATGTTGCGATCAGTTGGTGCTGCCGGATGTATTTATGATGTTTGTATATTTTTAGAACTTTGTTTAGAATCACTTTTGCATTGACCATTGAAATGTTAAAAGTAAGAAATGGCCTTGTTGCTTTATCAGGATATGTGTGTGTATGTGTATGTTACCGTTGACAATACTTGAATACTGTGGCCTTTGCCATCTTTGACTATAGTTGTATGTATGTCGTGTTTATAGAGAACAGGCTGGCACTGATTGCACTGTTGCCATTTGTCCTGAAAACTTGAACATTTTGATAAAAGACTCCCAATTTCATTGAAGTTACTTTGTACTATTGAACAGCGTGCCCATCTGTGTTGTTTGTCTCACTTTGTCCTTGGTTTCTGTATTTAGTCTTCACTGTAAAGCGGCGCATTTTTCCATGTAACCCAACAAACTAGTCTGTTTGCAGCAGACATTTATATTCCTGCTGATGCATAGCTGTGATACTCGGCTACTTGCAGTAAGTTTGTGTTTCACGGTTGCTTTTTGATAAACTTACAGTGACTGTAAAGATCAAACCAGTTAACAGTCTGCTTTAGTCACAACTTCACAAAATGTGTAATTTGCTGATGTGTCCAGATGTCTGCTTCACATTTTGTATCTGATGTCTGTCGGTTCTTTCCAAGCATCACATAGTGAATTATTGTCTGCCTAAAATCATTTTTTTCATATAGTGCATTAGACCAAGAAGACCAGACGTGTGCGTCTCTTGTTTTCATCTTTCTCTTGTCGAGATGGGAATTGCAGCACCACTGGGTGTTTTCTCCCCCAACATCTGTGTGCTGTGGAGTTAGTAAAGCACCTTGATTGGAGGCTGCTGCTTCTTAAAGCTCTGCCATTGTTGTAGATAATGTGATTAATCCATCAATGGTTTAATCATTTGTTCGTTCTGGGCATCGTGTTCGAGCTCTGCTGAGTTACCATTTTGCACCACTAGGTGGAGCCCACGTTGCACTATGTTCCGCTCGTGACTTAACCCGTGGGAGTAATATATATGCCACTGTAGAAACAGCTGTTGCCATGGCACTCTGTAGAGTGAGTATTAAATAATATTTAGGGTTGGAGGTAATGAATGGGACGCTGATGGGGTGAGAAGCTGTGGGCTCGCATGCAGACTTCCTGCTGCAGTTTCTGTCTGAAATAAAGAGTTGGCTGGAGTATTTGATTTTATTCTTTGTTTAGGAAAGCTTATGCTGCACCGTTTAGTTTTCAGTTTTACTTTTAAATAATCAGGATTAATATTGTTTATCGTATCGATTGGTTTTCTAGTTTCATCTATTTTATCAGGGTTTAACTCTTCCCTTAGTTTGTAGAGCTGTCTTTGTAAACTTTGTTTATAGAGTTGCTATATAAATAAAGTATGTGTCTCCGGGGTATTGCAGAGTGGTGCATAGTAATATGTTAATGTGGCCCACCCACTCACAGAGATATAGTGTTAATTTATAATCTGTAAATTGGTTTGGCTTTGCCCACATGTCAGTTTTTCTTGAGATGGACAGAAAAGTTCTTGCTCATTTTCGTTGCCTCTAATTACAGAAATAATAATAATAATGAAATGGCAAATGAAACCACAGTGTCAGTCCAAGCCATCACAATAAATGAGCTTTCATAGCTTGCTTTTAGAGGCAGAAAGAAATGATTTCTGTGATGTCAAAATGACCACTGCAAATTGAACCTTCCTGTCTTTACCTTAACTGTCGTAGAGCTAAAAGCTATTTCACATACGCTAAAGGCATGCCCGGGATCTCACCTGAGTTTAGTCCCGTGCTCTTTAGAGGCCACCAGGAAGCCCTTACTCAAGCTCACTGATCTTTAATTAAGGGGCTCCAAGTAGCGTAGAAGTTAAAATGATATTATTATGACATGGCTGCAAAGAAAAGAAGATAAAAACAACCAATGCATTCCTGCTCCCCTGTGCCTCGGATGTGTTTTTGAGGTTGCCTTCACTACAGCACCGAGATCAGAGAGCTGCCAGCTACAAAGACGGGCCTCCCTGTTTGCCTGCCTCTCTATCGCCGTGGCCCTTTCACAGCGCAGTAAATTCAGTCTTTTGCCTCCAGTGCTCCGTTGTGCACATCCAAAAATTGGCAATCGTTTATGCTGCCGATACATGCGGTCACTGGAGGTTAGCCCTGGAAACAACGGGCAAATATGTCACCATTTTAGTTGCTGATGATGCATTCTTGCATTAATGTTGTAATAATAAACAGGCTTTCATTGTCACGCCTAACCTCACCAACCTTTCACTATCGCTGTGCCAGATCCGGGAACAGCTTCTTTTTGAAAATGCCGATATATGTAACAATTTCGGAGGGCATGGCCACTGACCAATGATGTCGTCCTTCCCTCTCGGGGTGTCATGGAGGACAATGACAACATGTTTTGTCATTTAATTTGGAGGACTTTGTTGTCCACCAGTGGCTCCCTCATCTCAATTAGCTTGTAAATATGACAGTCGCATGGTTTCTCCTGACTTCACAAGTTGACGGTACTGCCTGAATGTACTATTCAAGAATTGACCTGCATGCAGTGGATTAGAGGATACTGAGGGACCCTGAAGAAAACATCTGGTTTAGAGGAGCCTTTGTCGACCCATTACTTTTACAGTGTGCAGTCATAGATTGTGGAATGTGATAGAGGCAGCACCTGAACTGAAACACAGCAAGTGGGTTTGCGTGCCTTCTTAAAGGGTTGTGATAAATTTCAGAAAATAGATGAGGCAGGGTGAAGGTAATTTCATCCCAAAATAGCTCCCGCGATGGATTGTGTTCCTGTGGAATGACTATTCCCTCTCGGTAGAACGTGAGCTTTACGTTGGTGGTTTTGAGTTCATCTTCAGCCATCCAGTAAGGGGCTGATTTACTCCTCAGGGTGCCAGGTGAGTGTAATTAACGGTAATTAACTAGCTGTGAGGATGGAAAGAAGCGCTGTTGAGTCCCACAGTTACAGAAAGCGACTGAGAGTGGGTGAACATAGTGGCTGAGTGTTTGTACATGACTTGAATCGTCTCGCGTAGCTTAACTCCTCTCGTAGACATCTGTACTGACATTCAAACATCTGTCGCTGCAGCCCGGGCAATCGGAGCTGAAGCAGAGTGACGGAGAGCATTCTGATACCATGCAGCCGGAATTGCAATGATAAATCCAAAGAGCCGTGCAGCTGCCGAGGACACTGATAAGAACAGCGAGGACAAAACTTGCTGCCACGGTGCTGGAGATGACCTTTACAGTCCTATTTTCGTAAAGTTTAATTGTGTCTTACAATAGTGGGCTCCTTACACATAGCAACCAGGGCTTTGGTTCAAATTAGCAGAGCTGTGGACCGGTGACGTCTGTTGTTTCATTCCTCAAAAGGATCCCTTGGATATACTGCATATACTATACGTGTTCCCATCTGTGACCAAATACCCCCGACACAGTTATCTCTCTGGAGAAAAATGACACTGATTTATTACAATTAGATTGATTTTGGCTTTTGGATTGGAGAATATTCATAGCCCGTGTTTAAAGCTGCAGGGCTATAGAACACACAAGGGATGGTTGTGTGTTGGAACTTAATTAAAACGGTGTGTGCATTTGTTTGTGCTTATTGTGTCCTGTGTCTAAACTAGTTGATGTACCTTTTTTCACGTCAGCCAGTTTGACAGGTGTAGTTCAAACAGTCATGGCTGCATTCCATTTCGGTGGGGATGTTTCAGGGCCCCGGTGTTGTGCATGCTGGCTCATTGGCTCTGCCATTCCAGTGTGAACACATGTTAGAGATGCTTGTAGGTGGATGGTGTTATCTTCAGACAAAGCCAGGCTAGCTGTTTCCCCTGTTTCCAGTGTTTGTGCTAAGCTAACCAGCTGCTAGTTCCAGCTTCATATTGAATATTGAACACACACGCAAGAGAGGTATCAATCTTTTCATCTACTCGCGGCAAGGAAGCAAATGAGTGTTGGTCCCCCAAAAATGTAAAGTGAAGTATCAACAATATCTTGAATTCCTACTTCATATTAAAATAATCGCTTTCAGATTTCTCCCTCTGGGATTGCAGTATGCGGTTCACGTTTGAAAACTCACATGCAAATATAATCAGAGGCCTCTCTGTCAACTGCACTTCAAAGCTGCACGGCGGGACACTCAAACCACTCATTTCTTTTTTATTTCTTAGCCATTATGCCAATTTCTCTTTGAGATGTTTGAATCTTTGGTGTCAAACGTTATTTTAGCAAGGCTAAAACATTCCATTTCTACTCTTAACAGCGGATATTTTCTGCGGGTGAGCCCGGTAATTCCGGTTGAGAGCAGTTGATTTATTTTTTTTCAGTTACAGAAGAGCGAAGCAATTTTTCCGATGGTAAAAGGTCAAGAGAACTCGGTGAGCTGTTCATATCCTGAAAAGGAGTCCAGTTGGAATCAAAATACACAGGATGTGTAGTTTTGACAGCGACATCCGTCCGTGTTTTGAACAGTCTTTCTGCACAGTGGAGAGATGCAGACAAGATGGTAGCGACAGAGATTAAGGAATTACATGTCACAAAGGTCACAAGTCTGCACTTTAATCCACAGAAAAATCTTCCGCCTCTCCTGAATACGAATTAAGTCGAGGAATTCCATTTGTTTTTTAGCCCAAATCTATTTAAGGTGGGTGAACTTTACATGTTCATGAGGAGGTTTAACTTTTAAAATGGCTGCCTTCTGAGATGGATTGAGCAAAAGTAATCAAATTCCTCGAAGAAAGTTACAATATTCTCTCTATATACATCAATATATTATCTCAACTCTTTTTCATTGTGCTTTAAACTCTGATTTAATAAATGGAGAATAGTTTTTGATTGAACTCTACCTAATGTTCAACCCAGCCTAAGCATATAAAGCGTGTTTGACCACTGACGGAAGAGAGAGCATCGTTCAGTGGGATGTGTTTCTGAGGGGATAAATGACCACCTAATGGCACTGTCGAAACTAATTATATCAAGCTGTTTTAGATGACTCTAAAGTGCTGGGCTCCCACATCTAGTCTCTCAACTGCAGATGAAATGCAGGTTGATTCTGCGTGCCCCCCCCAGGTCATTGGAAGCAGGTGCTCATGAATATAGAGGATGTTAAATATGCGTGAAGTTATTAATTACAAGTCTGGTGTATTTACAAGGTGCTCCCGCATTCTGGCTTTGCTAGTCGGGCACGTCTGTCAATACGTCTCTTCTTCTCCTGCTTGTCTGCGCCGATCGCTTTCTTCCTCCCTCACTCACCCCTCACCCAAAAAGTGGCCAAAAAGTCATTAATGAATTAAAGGATTGTTAGTTTACTGTTGACCTTTATCCGCAACCAGTCTCTGCCCGTCCTCCGCCAACTAATCCTCTCCATTCAAATGCATCATCTTTGTTTTTACACAAGTAAATAAATCCTGTTGTAGACACAATGCCGGCCACAAGTGTTTATATTGAACTGAGTCGATGCCAGTGTTCAGTGCCGCTGTAGTGCAGCATAAGGTGGGTGCACAGATCACCGTCACCATGTGGCTTCAGTCTTTAGCTCACATCAATCATACTTTAGCTGCAGCTGTAATATTAGCATGGCATATCGTTGTAGTGGCAGTACACTGAAGGCAAACCGTTTCCTATAAATATAACTTGTCGGAGGCACAGGTATCCACGGAGGTGTTGCAAAAGTAACATTGTCATCAGACCGGAGATTACATACCT